ATCAACACAACTGCAAAGAAACATGCAGCATCGTGGATACACACACACACACATGAGCCAGATATATATGTGATACAAATGCATGCAGTCTCACACCACCATACTTACACATACGTGCAAACATATACAGACTCACTACAGTCAAGTCCACACAGGTCCAAAGACAACACCTGTACAAAGAGTCAGGCTCCTTACAGCTGAGGTCATATCCTTGGGTCTCAGCATACCTCGGTCCCTCAGAGGCCAGTGTGATGATGAACAGTGCCAGTGAGAGTCACTGGCTTCATGTCTCCCTGATTGAATTCTTCTCCCAACAGAGAAGAACTGCGGCTGCTCAGTCTACTGCTTCTTGCCCGGTGTCCCATGGCTCACAGAAGGGGGCCCCTGTCCTGGAAAATGATATGCACCCCCAAGGAACCCGATCTCTTCCTTTCCCACCAGAAATGATTAGTCCTATGATTATCACTAAATAAAATGATTCTTCATCTGCACTAATGGCTCGTGTTCTTCAATATTACTTGAGGCTTTAGAAGCTAGAAAGAGCACTACCTAGGCAGTCAGGGCTATGCCCTAGAGACTCATTCTGAGTCTGAGTGATCTTGAAGAGCAGAGGGCTGGGTTCAGGTGAATGGAGATTCGGGTGGCTGCCCTGCTGTGCTTAGGTGGTGTGAATAAACACTCAGGCATCGATGTTCATACACAGGTTCCCACAAGGAGCGAAGCAGCCGACAATAGATGTGCTCCAGAGCTGGGCATGAAAGAGGGGGTGTGAGGACATATGTGTCTCTGGGTCTTCTCTCAGGTTGAGTGTTGGAAGCAACCAGGAATGTGGGAAGGTGGACTGATCACAGCAGGAAGAGAAGACCTGAAATGGGGGAAACTCCATGCGGTGATGCTTGGGAGACCCTGAAGAAGACACCTGGAAAGCTAAAGGACATTGTCATATTGGACTCTTCTCTGTTCTTCCAGCAACAGGAGGTCAGAGAAAACAAGCAGAAAGAAGAGACCATGGTCCGAGTGTTAGCCGCTTGTGACGAGCAAGGCAGAAGCTACTAGGGATTGTCATCTTTTTTAGGGGAAAAATTTAATTTAGAGGAAAGTTGAGAGGGTATAAAATACTGAAAAACTGGATGCAAGAAAGGAGTCTCTAGGAGATCAGAAAATCAAAAGCCCACAGTCTTGGTTAAAAAAAAAAAGGCAGTCAGTGAACACCAGAGCCAGGAAGGGGGTAGAGCAACTCCAAGGCCTCTTTCCCAGAGCAATGACAACATGTGACCTGCTCACTGGGTCCCTGCAGGGTCAGCTTTTAAGTTTTCCTTCATTTGACCTGACTCAGAGTTCACAGACTAGAAATACACAACTTCTCGGATGTGCATTTGCTGAGAAACACTCAGGGGTCTTGTTTAGCACTGGCTGCCTGAGGTGGTGGTAATGTTGAACACAAACAATGATGCACCTGTGATAAATCTCCAAAGGAAAAGCCGGGAAATAGGATGTAGGCTTTGAAAATGGTCAGCACATTCTTGGGATTCCAGGAGGCCATGCATGCATATGATGGGGAACTGCCCAGGTCCAGCGGGCCCCATGGGCCTTTAGTTCTGCAGAACTATCAGTGTGTCAGGGCACATACTTGAATCTTGGACCACATCTGGTTGTTCACGCCCTCCTGGTGAGCTGGCCATTTGACGGTAGAGCCTACTGAACCCTAGAGTTTCTGACTAGGGCACTCCTGTCTGTGCCAATTCCTTTTGGAGATACAGTTCTGTTGAGTCCATCCATTTGTATTGGTGGAATTTCATCGAGTGCCAAGGGTTTGGTGTAACCCGCTACCAGTACTTGTGCCTTGGAAGCCTGCTGAACTAAAGTGGCCTTTCCATTGTGACAAGGCTGTGACATTCCTGCCTTAGTAAGTACAGGATAAACAAAGGAAGCATCTCATTTCCCTCCAGCTACACAGCACAGCTTTTTCTGACTAACCCATGGGGGCTTGGCTGGCAGGCAGTGGGTCACACCTCCTCCTCCTCCTATGGCCCAAATCCTTATCTATGAGCAGGAATGTTCCCTTGGGTGCTCACGGTGTTATGCTCCACAAGCAGCCAATGTGTCGCTGGGATGTATTCAGCAGTCACCAGCACTCAAAACCATCCCGAGGGCCCCACCTACATGCACATAAGCACCACAGGCAGAAAAACACCCTGGGTCAGCAAATTAGCCTCAAATTGCCTGGTGTCATCAGTTTCCATTGTCTCGTAGAGAGACCAGAAAGTCTTGTCATGAGAGCATCAATGTGCAAAAGTTACAGCAAAGTCTACATCCTCCTCTAGCATCTTTCTGTCTTAACAGGGAAAGAAGGCCGCTGGCCACTTGGCCCCCATCCCTTAGCGCACCATTCAGCCTAAGACACTTGTATCCACCATGTCCTTTGTCCCACGGGCACCAATCAGGTTGTGGTGTGAGGCTTCTCTAGCCTTTTGTCCATATCTGCTCTTCCAGTGTCAAATCTCTCCCTCAGAAAATGACCTGCTTTTAAGTCTCATTCTCCTCATCAATTCATGAAAACAGGTCTTCCTAGGGGACCTCAAGCAACCCAGACCAGCGAGGGTTCCCTACACAGGCCCCTCTGCCTGCTCCAGGCATCATCTAGGAAGTGGCAAGAGCTTATGTTCACCACCTTATCCCTGCAAAGCCAAAGGGCAGCCAGCACCTCAGACAGCCCATCACCCACTCCCCCGCTGCTAACCCCATCTGGGAGCAAGGACCTACCATTTGACAATGCCATGACTTGTTTCCTTGGTAACCCTGCTCACTGTGCCAGACTACTGAGCAGACAGCACATACTGGTCCTCAACCCCAAGAGCAGAATTTAAACACTTATACCCAAGGCTTCCTGTTAATGACATGTTCAAGGGACACACGGGAGAGTCAGGGGCTGGATAGGACAGTGCTGATGGTTTCTAGTCACTGTGGCAAATGTCTGAACAAATCAGTAAGTGACATTATTTTGACTTACAGTTTCAGAGGTTTTGGTGCATCCTAGTGGGAAGGACAAGGTTGTGTGGAGCAGCTCACCACCTAGTGATCAGGAAGCAGAGAGGGAGCAGGCCTGTGCTAACAGAATTTCCTCTCTATCACCCAACGAGGGCTCTAAGCCTATGGCATAATGCCATGGGTATGAGTGTATTAGTGGTCTCTGGAACACCCCTCACAGACATTCATATAGGTGCACTTCGCTAATCGGATAGGTGTTTCCCATCCAAGCAAAAGGTCGGGATGACTTGTCACAAATGCTTTGCTTATACAGGGGGTGGGGTGGGGGGAGACCACAGCAGCAGCCAATGCCAGCAACAAACCAGGATCACCCTATTGTGCCAGTCACTAACCAGGATCACCCTGCTGTGCCAGCAACTAACCAGGATCACCCTGCTGTGGCACACAGACTCCTGTCCCTCCCTAGTGGAGTCTGCACATCTGAAAGCTGGGGCATAGCGGAAGCCATTGACAAGCACACTGAAGCAGAGTGAAGAAGATTTCTCTAGAGCAGAAGGGTCCCCATGCAAGGCACAGATGCTGTGGCCTCTTTGTCATGCAGTAACTGAGTCAAGAAAGATGAGAATGGGACATTGTGGGTCATTGGAAGGAAAAGCTACTCCTCACTTGGGTTTGGTTGAAGCCTCTCAGCAGCTGAGAGTAATTCCAGTATGGATAGCATTTTCTCTGTGGGTTGCTATAACATAGAGACAAGCTGCCTTTTCTATAGGAATATTTTCAGGTGATAATGCTAGACTACCAATAAACCATGCTTAAGGCCGGAGTGCACACGACCTCAGGCAGAGCTTCACTCCTCCCCCAGATACTTTCTGAGAAGCTCACAAAAAATACCATACATGGAGACACAAGGTACACTAACTTCTCGAATCCCTATGATCTAAGAAGTTATTTATTCACCATAATCTTGTCTGCTGCATCTCAGGAGCCATCCTGTTACCTCATTTAAATTCCTTGGCAACCATTTTAATACAAAACTTTCAGAGTCTACCAAAATTGCATATCTGACAATTATAAAGAGGACGAAGACTGGCTGCTCTTCAAGAAGCCCACACCATTGCTCAGTATGCCTCAGTCTTTTCCTGAACGCCTCCCCTCTCATAACGCCCATCTGTAAATCTATACTAAGCATCCCCTTCTTAATAAACTCCAGTTTCACTACATACAAGCTCATACTGGGATCCTTTTCTCTGGCAAAACCAAAGATCCAGTTTAACCTGAGAGCAGAGCCTGAAGAGGGAAGGAACTCTTTAGTCTGCTGCAGACAACTCCCAGCACGGAGCAGAAGCCACCCTGGATGGAAGCATGGACGTGTCCCAGGCCCAAGGCTCGTCTCAACCTAGCCAAGCAAAGGGTCAAAACACTGTATGCAA